CATGAAGAAATTTCTGATGCTTTATCAAATCCCCTTACCAGATTTCGTGTGTAAGTGAACGGAGTTTGCACTGGAAATTCCTTTACTACCACGTATACCACTGATGATTCTTGCTTCGTAAGTGGTATTATTATTATTACTGTACAAGATGCTTGAGTACTTTGGCATGCAGTCATAAATTTGTTTTCAAGATTCATTCTGAATTGCTTTTGATTGTGCTGACATCTGACGTCAGCAAGATTTGATACCCTTTTCATATGTGTTGTCATAGATCAGCCTTGATTAGGTATCTGAAACATAATCCACGAGATGCCTGCCAGATACAAGCGCAAATCAAGTGATTTTTGCATATTCCCTGTGGGTCAGCATCAGACTGATGGGAACCTGTATCTGGTAAAACACACCCGATAAACAAACGTAGTCTGAGTCATGTGCTACACCAAAATATGCGTTTGATCTTTGTTTGCCGTACAAACCCGATGGCTAGGAGTCTGCTTCCCTGAAAAGCTTGTACCCCGAAAAGCACGTTGAGACTTGTCATCTCGTTTGTCATTAGCCCAACTCAGGTTGTGCCACATTAGCTGATTGTTCGATTCACTGATTGATTGATTTCCTTTATCTGTCATGGGGCCACATGTTACAATATCTAAAACTCGCCCTCAAAAGTTTTACCTACAGGTTCACTTGCTTTATGGATATAATGGTAGTGCTAGCAGTAGTATACTAAGTCACACACCTCGGTCCTTGATAAGAGAAATTTGACAACAATATCGAACTGTTAATCTGTTCTCTTTATTAATTGTATTCTCCGCAACGTTCCCCACTCGTTCCATTTTTGATTAATATTAGTATCAATATTGTGTAATAGTTTTTTAAACATTACTGCAGCTGAAAATGTAAATAGGACAAGTTCTGTGCTTTCGAAGACCTACCAATTGAACTAAAGTGAGCGATTTTGTCAGAGGATAACATGGAACTTTAAACAGAAACTTTGTGATACTCGACCGGAGCAAATGATCACTCATTGTTCCTGGATTTGTGTTCGTTTTTGGTATATCCGGATAAGTGATCAGAAAGGAACAAAGAAACTCATGAAGATTGACTGGTCCGCTATCGGAACTGATAACTCACATTGGGGAACTGAGAGTAATGTTTCGATTATTAGATCGATTGATTCTGTAGGGTAACCTGAGTATCTATCTTTCCACAGTAAAACAACCCGTTTTAACAAGAGTGTTGCGCTTATCTCATCTCGTTAATTTTCCGCGCCAGTTTCCGGGCGTATGATTCAGTCGAAAGTAGTTCGAAACCGACTACTGAATATTAACAGTTGATCCTTAGAATTAACCGTTTTACTAATTCTGGTTAGAAATTGTAGGCGAATATATGTCTTCTGTGATCTCGACCCCCAACCATTACAATCGCGTATAAGTCTAAGCAAAAATAAGTAAACAAAATAGAAAAGTCTCAGCTAATCAATTTGAATTGTGTCGGGAAAGTTAAATAAACAACTGACCTCATCACGGTAACCATTAAGCGGATGTTTGAATTATACAATCGTGGCAACTAGTTTATGCTACTGTTAAGTAAATGAGCAACGTAGTCGGTTGTCAGCCGTAGCAATTGAAGTGCTTGAACCAATGCTCTCTGTGCGCAAAGGTACGTTTTTGGAAGGCAAAGATCAATGTCTAAATCGCAATTGTTTTCTACACTTGTGGGATTTGGTAAATAATTGAATGCGCGGTTTTTATCAAATGTAAGACAACGGAACCCTAGATCGTCCCATTCCTTACATGCCAAGTCTGTCGAGTGTAAATGGTTGGCTCAGAGTTGTTCTAGGAATTAAGGGCTGGTTGCCACACTTCACTTCTTTTTTGTAGCAGGCCCTGCGTGGCACATGTCTATGGTGCCAGATGTTTTCGCCGTTAACTATGTTGCAATGGGATGAATGACACCAGATAGCTGAATGTATATGATGTGGCGTTACAGAACAACTCGTTTTCGCCAGCTTGGGAGCCTTTTAGGTTCTACTGAGGAGTGTTGTTATTCACATTGTCAAACTTTCACATACACCTTGCNCACCTTGCTATCCGGACTCGTTTTCCACTTTTTTGACGAAGGAAAGGATAAGCTATTGTGGAATTCACTAGTCTCTTATTATCGCAACGGCTTAATGACACAGTATTGTTGCCTTATGGCGGTTAGAAATCAGCATCAATACATACTTATGGGAACGGTTGGGGTCCAAACCGGAAACGAACGGGTTTTGGTCTAATGCTCTTTCCGTCTGATTCCGGCATAGGAGTGTCGGATTGTTGATAGACTGGAATTTGCAGTTGTTCATATCCTCAATAGACCTGTTTCAAAACCACATGAGAGGACACCCATATAAATAAATCAGGAATTGTTTCACGTGATGTTCATTAGTACGCAACAAAACGATGAAATTATTCAATTCCCTTGTCACATGACGTTTTTTATCGAGCATTGAAAAGACGTTCCGTTGCATTTCGATTCCCGTCATCAAAATCTGATGAGAAAAGCAATCAATTTTTTCAATGCAGAAACCTTAATCCGACCTAACGGTCCGGGTCTGGGAGCTACATTACTGTTGCACGACACTCAGCCGGCATTTCTACTGGGCACTATAAAGCACTGGCCCGGGCTGACCAGCTCGATCTATCAAGCTTGCCTAAGCATGCTGGCTAATCGAGACGATCGGGAACGACGGGAAACCGTTCTGCGTGATGCTCGGCTCCAGTTACCCATCCCCGCCGAATGGTCGGTACAAGGTTGCCCACCCGAGTGTGACCTTTTGAGTTTGGACCAAGATGAGCCGGAACCACCTTCGGCATGGCTGATTGAACGTTGTTTCAAGCCACTGTTTTACACGGATACCGGGTAAGCGTTTGGCTGCTTTTCCAATTACCACTGATTATTAGCTAGACGGAGCTTAGATATTACTTCACCTGTTTGTTCATCCGTGTTAGCGTTCGGCACTCACGCAATGTCATCTGTTTAGAACAATACAAATCCCGCTTCGTTATTGATCCTAATTCACAATAGTGAGTATATAAAATGGGAAGGGGACTCACGAAGGCAGATTACAAGTTTCCTGCCTCTTTCTGATCACATAACAGACAATAAGTCTATCAGATATCAAATTCATCGTATTATATTATCTTAGTATATAATTATTATTATATTACCTTGATCATAAACACCTTTTACCAGGATAATCTTCCTTCTCTTTCCTCTTATCTAAGGTTTACAATGATTTGTTATTAAATGTCATTAGACAAAACTAACTCTTCATGGTTGCACTGTAGAGCAATGGTTGGTTGCTTCATCCGCGATGCGTCCACCGGGTGAGATGTAGCTGCCCAAATAACAAAACTTATCCACTTGCTCTATTACTTCCCCGTTTAGAGTGAGGGTGGGTGCTGGACCAACCCAGCCTTGAAGTAACATTTTATACTTTGAAGGTACAAAACACATTCCGAACATGGCTACACTGGTATTCAAGCTGTCCAGAACTCGGCTGAAGAAGTGCCTTAAGCTCAGACTCGGCTTTGGCTATTAGTATAAAGGGGTTGTAAGATTGAAACAAACTTTCCGGGCACACCCTTGAGAGCGAGGCAGCGCCAGAGTTTAGAGCGGTTGACAGAGTCGAAAGCTGCTTTCAGATCAAGGTAGATAGAAATGGTGGGTCTACAAAAGGAGTGTCTGTGTTATAGAATTTGATGACGGTCGAAGATGTGGTCGATATAACCTCTATCAGGTCTATCAGGTTCTCACGCGTACAGCGTTCACGAAAAAGAATGCTACTATTACCGATTGCCGCAGTCTTCCTCATCTCTCTACCTTTTCCTATCCATCACTTCTTGCGTTATTTCCCAGGCTCTTAAATAGCTGGCACTTTTTCTTATTTTGAATCCGAAGGAATGGCTTTGCGAGCGTCCAGCAGGGCAGCCGAGGTCGAGGAGATCCATCTTTTTTTAGTTGATCGTGTGCCAGAATCTGACATTGTTTTGATTGACATTTGGATCGCTTCCCTGATTTGCTTCCAATGTTCATTGAGCCCGACCGGTGGTTGAACTGAGAGGCGATCGGGGAGCTCCGCTTCGAAGGCCGACTGGTAGCAATCACTGACTCTGTATCGTGGGCATCTGTTGTCGGTGGCTTTTTGCGGTTGTTTGCCAGGCGTAAGGAGAATTTGGCTCCTAACAAGGCGTGGTCTGTATCCACAGGTGTGGA